GGCAGTGTTAGCGTTCTTGCTTACTACCTTAAGTAACATTGGCCAAGTTACTTAAGTCTTTGATCCTGGCTCTTTGCCCTTGGTTGCCTCTTAGTAAGGTACCTTTATGCCATCACCCCCTTGCTGTGTGCCTGGGTGGAGGTGAGGACAGGAGACAGACAATGATGTTTAAAGAGCCAGGCACACAGCTGTGTTATCTTCTTCTGGGAGCATTTCCAAGAAAACTGGGCTTTTGAAAAATGTAGGAATATGGGAGAAGTTTGACAGGTGGAAAGGGAAGACCTGCCCATCTAAAAGGAATGCAATGTGGGGAAAATACACAATGGGAAATTGAAAAGCAGATGCTGGAGTTCCCTGCATCGTTAGCTTCAGTGGTAGGGAGGGAGGAAGTGAGAGTTGAAAGAGGGCGATGTTGACCTGGACCTACAGATAGACAAATAGCCTGTTGAGCATGTTTCTTGGTTTGGGGAATCTTTAGGGGACCGACCCAGTGGGGTACAACGCCCTACAAATTAGGTGGGCATTCACTGTCAGAACATAGCTGTGGCCACATCCAAGTTTCTTAACTTCATATTCAGTTTCCTCACCTATGAAATGGGGATACTAGCTCAGCAGAGAAAGGATGCCACAACTGAGGGATAGCTAATGGTCAAGTGTGAAGAAGGACAGAGGGGTCCAAATGCTAAATGTCACACTGAGTCAGGAGTGCATGGAACCGGTCTTCTTAATGCTGCACCTAGGAACTGGTTGACCATCTCAATGAGAGCTTGCCGATGGGGTTGGGGGGTCAGGAGTAAAGGGGAGGTGGGAGAGTGAAGGGAGCAAGGAGATCACCCTTGAGGAAGTTGAAGGAGAAGAGACAAAGAGAGGTGGGTTTGCATTAGGAGAGGACACAGGGTCTACTGAGCTACTCTTTGCAAGACTGGAAAAAATTGACCATGTGATAGGAAGGAGCCAGGGGAGAGGGTGCTGCACACCTGACTCTTCCCACCCCTGCCCTACCCTGTGCTTAGCACCCATCCAATCCCTCTTAAGTGTTTTCCAACGTGTGATTTATTGGTGGGACTGAGCATCTTGTGGCAGAGGGTGGAGGAGGGCAGCTGGTGATGGACCTGGGTGTGCACATCCCATTCTACAAAACAGAGTCCTGCCATTGACCCCATCCACTTCACTCAGAAGCATTCTCATAGTCATCTGTAGATACTTCCATGGGTTTCAGAACACTCCTCGCACCCACACACTGCCTTCTCCCTCTGAGATGCTCTAGCATTCTGGTTTCTCCTTCAAGTTCCCTTTCTGGTGGTGTGTCAGGCTCCCATATGCTGGCCCCTCAGTGCAGCCCTGATCCATTATGAACTGTGGCTCTGCCTCCCATTTGCCAGATCTCAGCCTCCCTATGTCACCCTGAAGGCTGGGCCCTCCTGCTGCCCCTGATCCCTCCTACTGCATCATAGCCTCCTAAGTCTTCCACTTTATCTGCCCCCACCCTCTGATTTGAGAGCCCTGTCCTTTCTCAGACACCCTGTCAAAATGCTTCTCACATGATGGGACAGTGACACTCAGATTTTTTTTCTTTGTTTTTCAATTGGCAACAGTTCCACTGACAGTGACCCTTTGATATTGCAATGACACCACCAAATTGGGCCTTCCCTGGTGACTACCCCTCTTTGATAAGAGTTATCAACTGCAGGGTGTGACCCCTCATGCTCTGTTCCTTTGGCTATAGGTGTGGCCATCCCATTTCTGGAAACCTTAGATCCCAGGTTCGGTGATCAGAGCCCGAAGGCCCCTCTCCCAAGCCTTTCTCAGGGAGTGGTCCCCCAGGAGGCTCCAGCTTAGTGACTACCTACCTGGCTAGGCTGGATTCTGTCAGCAACGTGGACCAAGCCCCACCTCCTGGTCTGCACCAGGAAAAGTGAGCAAGCCGTGAAGGTCACTGCCCGGAACTTGTCACAGCCAGACGTGAAGTGTTTAGCAATTTCCAGCCTGAGCTTTGGAATGCAGAAAGCGATCGAGCCGTAGCTGGAAGCGAATCATAAATGCTCCTGGGCTCATCCAAAAATTTCACTGGGGGCCACAGGGCCACTTCCACAGCTGCTTCCCATGAGCTTGGGTCTTGGCCAGGATAATACATTGACTTCTGGATTGACCTCAGGCCAGACAGAAATCTTCCAAGTGAGCCACTGCAGAGAGGGAAAACCCTGCACTTTCTCCCTCTGTAATGGAATACACTGCGGGCCTTTGAAGATTAATCACCCAACAGAGGGAAAGTGATCTCAGTTAATTCTATTGGCGTCACCTCTTTCTCTGTGGCTTGAGTCTTACCCTCCTGCAGAAGGTGGAGTAGAATTCAAATTTGGTTTTCAGTTTCATAATCAAGGGCTTCTCTCAGATACCCATGGCTACTATACTTCTTGTCCAGTCTTGGCAAAAGATTCAAACCCTGTGCACCCAGCGTGCCAGACTTTCTTTTCTCTCCCCTCACACAGCCCCTTCCAAGACAATGTCTGCAGGGCCCATTAGTATGGTGGTTACTTTCAAGGCCATTGGAGTCAGACTCTGAATTTGAATCCTGATTTGACTTCTTGACAGATGTATGATTTTTGAAAAATACCTTGTTTCTTCATCTAAGAAATGGGATTAGAGCACTGTATTAGTTTGTTCGGGCTGCTGTAACAAAATACCACAGACTGGGTGGCTAAAACACCAGAAATTAATTTTCTCACAGTTCTAGAGGCTGGAAGTCCAAGATCAGGGTGTTGGTAGGGTTGATTTCTCCTGAGGCCTCTCTCTTTGGCTCATATATGGTCATCTTCCCATTCAGCTTTGGTAGGACTCCTCTCTGGTTACTAAGGGTCAGTAGTACCACTGAGATGTATCACCATTAACATCAAGAAATGAGTTCACAAAGAGAGGGGTGACATCATGGAGACATTTAAAAGGGGCTCTCCAAGGATGCTCCAGTGTTGGTAATGCGCCTGGTACAGACTGTTGAGACAATTGCACATCTCTGCCCTCCAGAAAGCTGCAGCCCAAGTCATGTGACTTCTAAGGGGACCCATTTCCTTCCCTGTCCCAACCCAACAGACAACACAAACACAGGAGGCTGAAAGGTTAGTGTAACCACTGCAACGTGGTCGCAGAGCACGCATGCCCTCAGCAGGTGCTGGTGGAGATGCCTGGTGTGTACAAACTACAGGGCAAAGCAGGACACATAAGTACTGTGCTCAGAACTTTACAGAAAAGTGGGAGGAAAATCGTTAAGTGTTTTCAAGATCGGCTTCTGTGGAAAACTTGGGATTGTTTCTCCCACGTTTGTTTTCAATCTTGGTGATTGTTATTACAGAATCAACACATACTCATTGTAACAGTTAACTATCCAGGGTTTTTCTATACTTATGGTAGCATGTTGGGTTTTGTTATCACTCTGTAGTGTTCTGCAAGCTGCAAACTGGAGCATCTCCTTGAAATGTTGGGAAGGAGGGGCTATGTGAGATGGGCAAGAAAGGCAAGTACAGGAAATATGTAAAGTGACACAGGACTTTGATTCTTCACTGAGGTTTGGAGAAGAGTGGAGAGGTGGGCAGGGACCTGGAGAAAGATGAGTAGAAGCCTAGAGCTCTGGGGCCATTTACTTGGTCTCCTGATGAATGAGGCTCCTAGATCTGACCTTTGAGCTTAAGAGAGAAAATGGCTAGGTGACATTGATTTCAGCCTGGAAGAGTGTCATGGAGAATTTTGCTCTGGTGTGAGGGTAGGGAATGGGGTAAGGAGATGGTTGTCCGTGGAACACTATTCAGGACCCAGTTGAATTTGGTTGCATTTAGTTCTGAAATTTTTGGAAAAAGGTAAAGAAGAAGAGATGCTAGATGGACTGAGGGAAGACAATTCATGGGGGAGCCAGGGTGATCGGGCATCTTGCTTGAGAGGAGATTGTATGATAATACCTGACTAATGATTGCTCACTCATGAGAGGGTTTGGAGAAACTCCAATAACTATTCATTGTGTTTAGTTTGATTTAGTTATGCATATCAAATAAGCAGCATTATAAATAAAATTGCTCTTGGTAATTCAAGTACCACTTGAGATCAGATACATTCACTGTCCATTGAGGAGAAATGCAATGAATGACGTGCAGAGGCCTTGGAAACCAAGCTAGTTAGGGGAAAGGCAACCTCACACCATGAGTTATACCACTCCTGAGTCAGGATGGAATTCAGGGAAGGACAGGACCTCACAAGTCAAGACCTCAGAGAACAAAGAGCAGTGGTTTATTGGAGAAAGCAACAAGGATTGTGAGGAGGCCAAGAGAGATGAGAATGAGTGAAAAAGGCAGCCTGCGAAACAGGCAGGATATCTCAAGGTCCTTGATCAGGGTGACCTTAGGGAGCGAATGAAGGAGGGAGGGAAAGGCTAAGCGGAGGAAGGGTCAGTGAAGGGCTCCTTGAGGCCTCAGTGAGCTGATGAAAAGACAAAAGAGTGTCTCCTGTGCCTTCCCACAGGAGAAGGGTGTGGATCTAGGGGCAGCGAATAAGCCCTTCACAATGGGCAATCCCTTCCATGAGCTTCTCTGAGAGCGTAGGCTGCTGGTGACAAGGGCACCATCCCCTGCTACACATCTGTGTGCAACAAGGATCCCCATATACTCGGGATTCCTTAAAATAGAACATGTGTGGTCTCATTACAGCAGACGCAATGAACCACCACAGAGTCCCCAGTTCTCAACCCCCTTGGCAAAGCACGACAGCCTCAGCTTCACTCTTGAGCAGTGAATCTCCAGAAGTTCTGGACTGGGTTATTGAAACTGAAACTAGATTTCAAAAGCTGTCAGCTTAGGGAGCAGATGTGACCTCCAAGTTCGGTTCCTGATTTTGTGTTTCTTTCTCCCTCCTCCTTTAGATCTCGGTGTGTGTGGGCATCTCCTCAGCTGGCAGCCCTGCTGTGCCCTGCAGTTGACGTCCAAGGTTTTTGACTGTGTGGGTTTGTGTCTTTCCGGCAGGTGTCTCCTCTGTGACTTCCCTGATGTCCCTGGCTTGGGTGCTAGCCTCCTATCACAAGCTGCTGCGGGACTCCAGGGACGACAAGAAGAGTATGAGCTACAGAGGGGCCCTCATCCAACTCTTCTGGCGCCTCTTCACCATCTCATCCAGAGTTATCTCTTTTGCCCTCTTTGCTTCCATCTTCCAGCTCTACTTCGGGATCTTCGTGGTGGTTCACTGGTGCGCCATGGCCTTCTGGATCATCCATGGCGGAACAGACTTCTGCATGTCCAAGTGGGAGGAGATCCTCTTCAACATGGTGGTAGGGATTGTGTACATTTTCTGCTGGTTTAACGTCAAGGAAGGGCGGACTCGATATCGAATGTTTGCATATTATACGATAGTCTTGACCGAGAATGCTGCCTTGACGTTCCTTTGGTATTTTTACAGAAACCCGGAGACCACTGACTCCTATGCGGTGCCAGCACTGTGTTGTGTCTTTATTAGCTTTGTGGCTGGGATCGCATTGATGCTCTTATATTATGGTGTGCTGCATCCCATGGGGCCACGAGCTAAGATCTTTGCCAGCTCCTGTTGTGCCGAGCTGCTCTGGGGCATCCCTTTGCCCCCCGATGTTGAGCCCATGGCGCCTCAGACCCCTGGGTACCGGGGGACCCAGGTCACGCCTACCAGAGCCGTAACGGAACAACAGGAGGATCTCACGGCTGACACTTGCTTGCCCGTTTTCCAAGTGAGACCCATGGGGCCCTCCACCCCGTCGGGGCGTCCTTACCACCCAGAAGGGCCCCTCATTAAGATTGACATGCCAAGAAAGAGATACCCAGCTTGGGATGCTCATTTTGTAGACAGGAGGTTGAGAAGGACTATTAACATTCTGCAGTACGTCACCCCCACCGCAGTAGGCATTCGGTATCGAGACGGACCGCTCCTTTATGAGTTGCTACAGTATGAGTCTTCACTCTAAGAGCATCTTGACCCAAGTTGAGAAGGGGACCTTAAGTTGGTTTGCGGTAAACACCGCTTGCAAGAAATATAACCCTCTCTTCCCCCAATACACAAAATCACAACCACCATCACCACCACCACCACCACCACCACCTCCACCACCACTGCTATAAAAAAAGAAAATAATAAGTCACGACCCCTTCAGATAAGCTTTCTTTCCAGTTGCTGTATGTATACAAAGATATTCTCTATGTTTTGTAAGTAAAAACAAAAAGAAGACCTTTCTTTTGTTTTTTACACATAAGAAACAGTATTGAAAATCCCACACTATTGTTCATTGGGTGGAGAAGGAGGAGTTGTCTCCACTCCAAAAGAAAAAAAATAATATTTTATACCTTACACCAAGTGTAGATCATGTATGGGATTGGTGCTGATTGAAAGAACAAAACAAAACAAAATAAACACAAACAAACAAACAAACAAAAACCTTCAACTGCCTTATGCCCTTAGGTGCTGAGTTTCATTAAGTACTGTCACGTTTTCTCATGCAAAACTCTCTGGTGGTTTTGGCGCCATGAGAGGGGAAATTAAACAATCAAATGAAACAAATCTAGAAACGAAACAAAAACCAACCAACCAACAAAACACAAAGCAATCATTCTTCCTATCTGATTATTTGTATTGAAGAAAACAAATTCACCAAAAGCAAAGGCATAGAAACCCCAATCTCTTTTCGGTTTCTCTCCCTCCTCTCCTGTCCCTGTCTCTAACTTAACAGCGCCTTCTAGGAGCCAAATGGCCATTTGGGACTCAAATGGCTGGGACAGCTACTTGAAGGCTGACCTTGTGCCATTTTAACATTCACCTAGTGTGGATCACATTTGTTTCCTGGTGAAAAACAAAACAGAATAAAACAAAAAAGCCACCCTAGTAATTCGACAAGAACATGAAATTCTAAAGCAAATTAAAGGAGATTTCCATCTACTTAATCAAAGAAAATCAGTAATAATAAAACTCAGCATAGTAGCAAAAAGAACGACATCAATTTAAAGGCACAATACTTAATCAGTGACTGGCAAAAATGATTTAGGTCTGTCATTTTAAGGCCGTGAAAGGTATACATTTATCACATGTGATATTGTGTAAGGCCTCTTCTGTTTCCATTTGGTGGGAAGCCTTAAATTGATCTGGAAAGAATTCTTCATTTTTCATTTGTGCTTTTTAAAAATATTAACACAGAGGAAAATTAGACTATATATATATATATATATACACACAAAAAAACAACAAACCACGTCAAATTGTAATAACTGACCCATTTCAAAGACTGTTTGGTGCTTCTGTCTTTCACCATTGTGGTTGGCTGAAACTCATTCAGCTCACTTGGTGCATCTGGGGTGAGTGGGCAACTTTGTGTGCGTGTGCGTGTGCTCGTGTGTGTGTGTGTGTGTGTGTGTGTGTGTGTGTGTGCCCATAGCACACGTATATATGTGTGTATGTGTCTGCTGCAAGGTCTTGCCAGAAATGTAGAAAACCGCACTAAGGCAGACTCTGGGTACGACGAAGGTGGAGTAGAAGGTGGCTGGTGGGGGGTGCAGGAAGGAGGGGGTGGTGCTGGAATATGAGCCCCTGTCTGGATGGCGAGACTCACACCAGCAGCGTACTCTGGGTCTTAGAGGCAGTGTCGTTTGGGTGAAGATTTAATTATTTTCTCATTGTACCAAACTGAATTTCGAGAGGTGTTACAAGTATGTTCAACCATTTCTTAAATGTTATTTTTCAAAGTATTGCTTCTGTAAGGAATATTCTGTTCTAGGACATCGTTCAATCCCATTGTATCTCTACTTGAGCACCAAAAAAAAAAA